AAGCTTCCCGCGTCAGATCGCGCGTAAGCGTCCTCTTCTCCAATGTAGAGTGCCGCGCTGGCGGCCCGCGTAAAAGCCGCGGCGTCAGGTCGCTGTGTCATCTCGCGTAAGACCAGCTTCTTTTCGTCGCCCAGATGGGGCCCGAGTGTGGTCGGGAACTTTGGCTTAGCGCGTCGCCCCGCCAGTCCTGGCTCACCACGCTCGGGAGGGAAAAGTAGACACAGACACAATGGACAGGGAGAACATATAGGAATTTGAGGGGAAGCCCAACATCCCCAAAAAGGGAACCCTGAAACGTGTGCCGATCTATCTGTGTCCCCCTGAGCCCATCCCGAGCCTCTCCCAGCCTCCGGGCCCCGCGGAGCGGATCGGCACGACATCAGCTCGCAAGGCACAGCGTGTTGCCAGGGCCGCGCCGCGACACGCAAAGCAAATGTTCCTGACCGTAGATAACCATGGACGTCGGCGATGCGGCTCGATGTGCAGCCCGATTGTCTCCACGCCGACGTCGGCGATGCATCGCCGATGCAATGCGGCGCGATCCTCCGACCCCATCTACGCGGACCCCATCTAGTAGGCCTCTTTCGAATCGGGGGACACTTCGCACATTCGGGGGGCCTTGCTTGGCATGTCCTGTGAATGATTGTCTTCTGGTGTACTTCTGCGTGGGGTCGGCGAGGACTCGATGAAGATTCGGCGTGAATTCGTTTCGTTTTCGACACGGATTTGATGCGTTTGACATGGACTTGACGTAGACTCGACACGGATAGCGGCGCGTAGTCGGGGGCCCTCGCTAGGCCCCGGGACCGTCGATACAAACGACCGGGGAGGCACATGCGGCCTTGGGGAAGGGGGGTCCAGGTCCAGGTTGGTGAGAGAGCCACGACGTCGGAGATCAGGGGGGCCCCCACCCCGACAAGTCGAATACTTAGAGAAGTCGTCCGTGGGCCGTGGGGCCAAAAGCTTTTCTCTTCACGAGAGAGCGTTGCAGCCACCATTTTTTTGTCATGCTTGGCGTGTTCACCACCGGGGTTGGGGCATGCTTGCGCCTCAAGTTTTTTTTGTATACCGCACCCTCCCCGCCCCAGTCAGATTCCACTGCCCGTGGCCAAGTTCCGTACACAAAACTTGAGCCCCAGGGATGGAATCTTGCATACCAGACTCACGACCAAGACCCTCGCCCACCCTCCAGGGCTTTTTTTTGGTTTAGTATACATATGTTTATCGGGCGGGCCTGCGCCCCTGGGGCTTTGCTAAAGGCGGTTCTGTCCACCACCGACATTGAGGAGCAGAAAACGACACGATCAGAACTCTCGGAAGTCCGCACGGATCCCCTGGAGGCCAGACTCTGCTTCAGGTGGCAGCGCGTCTCCGGCGCCGCCCCCTGGCAGCGCCTCGCTGCGTGCCAGGGGGAGAGGCCCGGCGTAGACCAACGATTTGGCATCGCTCGGACGTGTGCACTTCGACTTCGTTCTCGGCGAGGCCTATCGAGGAGCATCCTGGATTATTTGGCAATTCAAAAACAAGCACGAAACCGAACAATGTCCGAGGGATGGCAAGAGTCTTGCCGCAAGACGAGAAATCCTCGCGGACCTCCCAAGCGTACGGTCAGTGCGCTTTTTGTGCCTCCACCGTCAGGGAGGATGGAGGACCGAAGACTGCGCTGACGGCGTCGACGTCGTGACGAAGGTTTCTTGGAAAGTTTTTGGGGTTTCTCGTCGCCGCGGATGGATGCAGCTCGGAAGTTGGCCAGGATAGGTTCCATGATGGGCCGCGGGAGAATCGTAGTCTCGGGCCGGACGAAAGGGAAGCATAAGGAAAGGGGGGGGTACGAAATTTGTTGCATGCAGCTGGTTTCGGCCTCACCGAGGGGCCCATTTCTCGATACATAGCCGCCTCCGGCTCCGGGAGGCGCCGGGAAAATCAGCTACGTGAGCTGATTCTCAAACCCCCCCCTTTGTTATCTCCCCCTTTCGCCCGACCCGATAGTCGCCGCCGTCGTCACGTCGTTGTCGCCGCCGCCGTCGTCGTGGTTGTCCTCGCTGGCCATCACCGCAAGCCCTTGGAGGGAGACGGGGAGGATGGAGAATCGACGTCCTCCAGGCCGCCGAATGATTTGTCATGTTCAGTCTCGGCGTTTTTCATAAGTTTCAACGTCCTACAGTCGTCTTCGGGGTCTCGGGCCATAAATGATATAGGATTGAAGCTCCCCCTGGGGAAACGGTCGAGAGGTCTGGGGCCGTAAGGTAAAACAGTACATCGTCGTGTGTATGTTTGTTTGGCACATGCTTTGGGGCGAGGACGTTTGCAAAGTTTCATTTCTGGAGTTCGCTTCTGCGGTTGCTCTCGGGAGCAAGGCCCACACCCCAGGGCTGCCATAGCAAGCACTTCCAGGACGAAGTTCTTGGCATCGCTCGGACGTGTGCATTTTTGCCTCGGCGAGGACATCGCGCATTCCTCGACGAGGACTATCGTGGAGCATGTTGGACCGTCCTGCGAAAAATTATAAGCGCATGACCCTGACCAAAAATGCACGGGACACGGTCCGTAGCCATTTTGGCTCAAGGCTCAAACTCGTCTCAAGCGCCCAGCCCGCTCTGCTCACGCCGACGCCCCTGGGTCGGGGTGGGCAGCTATCCTAAGCTATCCAGGGGATCACCGTCACCATGGCCAGCTCGGCCCTCCCGGGCGGCCTCCTGGGCAGCGCCCTGCGGCTGTTCGTCTTCATCGCAGTGGGCATCGCGTTCGGCTTCCTGTTCGAGCGGTCGCACGTGTACGAGCCCGACGCGATTCGGAAGCAGTTCAGCTTCCAGCGCAACATCATGCTGAAGATGTTCGTCGGCGCGGTAGGCGGCGCGGCGTTGTCGTTCTACGTGTGGGAGCGCCCGCTTCTTTCCAAGTCGAGCGACATCATTGAGCGCGTTCGCAGGTTCCGCAGTGGAACGCCACTGCCGCGTGCCGCGCTCGGCGGCGCGATCCTGGGCGTCGGCATGGTGGTCGGCGGCGCGTGTCCAGGGATGGTGCTGCCGCAGGTTGGCACCGGCGTGCACAACGCGCACGTCACGCTGCTCGGTGGCTTCGCGGGGGCGCTGGTGCACAACCTCTGGGAGTTTGCGCAGGGGTGGTGGCGTCGGAGGAGCCAGTCGCGTGTCGTCGCCGCCAGCGAGGACGGCAGTGGCGACGCCGCCGCGGCCGCGGAAGACCGCGAGCGCAGGTACCGCGGCGACTTCCTGGACCTGCGCTTCAACCTCCCCTTCGACAAGTGCATGCTGGGGGTCTTCTTCGCGTGCGCCGCGTTCTGCCTCGTCATGGAGCTCGCCATCGACTTCGAGTCGGATCTGGTGCCCGGCACGAAGGGCGCCTGGCCCCCGAGCCTGGCGGGGTTTGGGATCGGGCTGGTGAACCTGGTCAGCCTGGGCGCGGCGGGCGCCAGCATGGGCAGCAGTAAAGCCTATGCGCAGGTCATGCTTTCAGGTGTCTTCCAGGGTGCCTTGAAGAAGGGAGTGTGCGGGTCGGGGCAGCGGGCTCAGAGCGACGGTGGCGGCGCGAAGGGCGGTGCCTCGAGCAGCGTGGACTGGTTCAACGGCGCGTTGGAGCGGCACTGGCAGGTGCCGTACTTGTGCGCGAGCGTGCTGGGTGCGTTCCTGTCGAACGAGATGGCGGGGAACGCAAGTGTTCAGGGCGTGGAGCATGAGGCGATTGCCTTCATTGGCGGTTTCCTGATGCTGTTCGGGAGTCGCCTGGGCGGCGGTTGCACAAGCGGCCACGGCATCGCGGGCATGCCTCTCCTCTTTATCCCGTCCGTCGCAGCTGTCTCCTCTATGTTCGGCGCCGGGATTCTGACTGCGCTGTGGATCGACGGACAGCAGCCGATGCAGTTGCAGGGGACGCGGTGATGCAGTGTGCTTCACCCGTGTCGAGACAAGTTGCTACCCGAACTGCGCGTGGATAAGGTTCCAAAGGTATAGGTGGCGCTAGAGACATCGCGCATGCGTGCAGCGATGATGCTTCGCATTCAACTCAGAGTCTGTCTCTTCAGGCTCATTTTTCAATTCGATTCTCAATCTTATTTCTTGGGGTGTCTGGGGCAATCGCGTCCCGTCCTCGTTCGTTATCTCGTATTCCAGAGTGCCGAGGTGATGCGTTCCACGATGGCCGGGCCTGTTTACAACCAGAGCGTGGTAAAGAGGTTCCGGACAGGACAAGCCCGGCTCAGCGCCAAGTAGGGTTCATTCCCACAGCGCTGTTACAGTTGGATTGTTTAAACAACCCTTGCCTTGCTGAGTTGGGGTGCTCGCAGAGTTCGGCGTCCGTCGTGAGCCACGACGCCGTTTCCTCCCTCGTCCTTCCCCGCCTCGTCCTCCCACTCCTCGCCCTCCTTCCTCCTCGCTCTGGCTGTGTTTCACACTGTTGCTGCAGCTGGCACTGATTGTCGCTTCGACTGCGAATTGGTGGTGCACGGACGAACAAAAAAATGCACGGGACACGGACGTCCGAGCGGTGCCGAGAGTTCCGCACTCGCTCACCACCTCCCCCGTTTTCCCGGAGCGCGGTTCACTCGGCCGCGGCCCGGCGATCTTGTTACAGCCAGACCAAGGTATAAGATCAAGGTCGGTTCGGGGAGGGTGTCCTAGTGTTGTTCGTCGTGCTTGCTGGAAACAAACCGCCCTGGATCGAATAGTACAGTCGGACCGAGATGTAAGATCGAGGTCGGTTCGGGGAGGGTAAAACCTGTGAGTTCTTCGTGCTTGCTGGATGTTCTTGCGCATCATGGGGAGGGTACCATTGCATGTTTTGTTTGGCTTGACCGACGGAGGGCCTCATGTTCTTGAGGGATGTTCTTCTGGCCCGGGTCCGACTGCACCACCTCCCCCGCCTTCCCGGTGTGCAATTCACTTGGTCGCGGCCCGGCAATCTTGCCTCCTGCGCTGCGCAGCCCGCTCCGCGCCGCTTCGCCAAGGATAAATGGTTCTTGGGCTGGGGCTGGCGCCAGCGGAGGGAGGACGCACTCCGCCACGTTGGGGCCTCGATCTCCCGCGAATGGGTTTCGTTCGAACATCCTTCTGTGGGACTGCCCGCGGACCAGGCGGACCCGGCGTCTCTGAGCACGCCTGACCTGTCGCCTCTTGGGGGCCCGCCTCGGCCGGAGACGCCCCAGTGGGGCCACAGCTGTCGACGCTGGAGAGATGCCAGCCCGAGCTGGAGATTTTAATGATGTCTCGAGCGAGAGGCTGGAAAGCAGTGACTCGACACCAACACGGGTACCCCCCTCTGCCCCTTGACCGTGGTGTCCCAGACCTCCGATGCGTGCCTCCTGGACCTCTCGAAGCCTTCCCTGGGCCGCTTTGTAATCTTGAGCCGTCGCTTGACGGTCCTGTGTCCCGCGAGCGGCCCCTGGACGCGGAAAGCATGCGTCTGCTTTAACGCTAAAGGTTTAGTCGCCCTGCCGAGCCTCTCCTTGCTGCAAGGGTCGGCCGCCAGCCGCTCTGCCACCCTCGCCGCCCGCCGCTGACGTCGCCGCCGACGCCCTCGCGGCGGCCGCCGCCGCCGTGGCACTGCGCCGCCGCCGCCGTGGCGCCGCCGCCGCCGTGGCGCCGCCGCCGCCGCGCCGCGGCCGGTGGCTGTGGCGCCGCCCCGCCGCCGCCGGCGCGCGAGGCCGGGCGCCCGCCGGCGGCGGCCGCGGGCCCGCGCGCGCGGCTGGGCGCGCAGAGCGGCGGCGGTGGCGCCGCCCTCGCGACCGCCGTCGCGGCGCTGGGAGCGGGTGGTCGAGGAGCAAAGAGCTTCAGCCGCGCTCACCTTGAGATCCTGGCGTTACAGTTTTTTTCGCAACGGGCGTTTTAGATCGTTTTCGGGTCCCGAGGCCCTCACACATCGATCCGGCTCGAAGAATGACGCAGACAGATGGGGTCCGGGGCTTTGGTCGTGATTTTTTGCGATGTTGCATTTTTGGGGCAAGGTCGGATCTCAGGGCAGAGGGGGTGGGGGTTGGAGATATACCCCTCGGAACCCGAAGGAAACATGCCACATCCTCATCTGAGGGGGTTAGGTCAGCCAGTGGGGCCCAGGCCACACCCATAGGGGATATAGGGGATCGGTTGAACGATGCTCGTGCACGTTCCGGACCCCTGCGCTGCCCAGGGTGTGTGTGCGTTCTGCGGTCCGCTGTAGAGCTTCGAAGCTGCCTGGAACTGACGGCCCCGCAACTGACGCAGAACCACAAAAGTCGGCCACGCGCAGAGGGGGACAAGGGGAGGGGGGAAGGCTTCTTAGAAGCACCGCTGCTTATCCTAGAAGGCGCAGGCCTTGTCTGTAGATGCAGGGCCGGCGCCTTCTTAGGTGCAGCCGCCTTCTGTGAAGCTTCCCCCTCTCCCCCATACCCCCTCATGCTTGCCGCCAAAACAGCTGCACAGGTCGTGGCTTGATATTCGGCCCCGAACCAAAGTCGCCGCGGCGATGGCGGCGGCCACACATCGGGGCAGGGATTTTGCCGAGAAGTGGCCCTGCGATGAAGACGCGTCTCATACTGACCCGCATTAGCGACAGAGAACTGTCAGCTTGTGTCAAACATGGGCAGTCATATTTTTGTTGGTTAGGGGTCGATTCACGCAACCAACAAGCATGTTGTCGGAGCTTTCTCTTAGCGTGTCGCGCCGCCTGTTCTGGGCCACCACGCTGCGGCGCGACTCGCAGACTGCGTCCCCATGCCCGAGCGTCAACGTCCCGAGCCTTTGCGGGCATGACGTGTCGCCAGGGCTGCCGCCGCGACACGCTAAGCAAAAGCCCCCGACCGTACAACATAGTGCGCTCCAGAAACGGTCTCGCCTTGGAGGTGCTGAGAGGTTATCTTTTCTTCGTCGGGAGGTCGTGAGAGGTTATTACCTAACAGCGAAGACTGATAGGTTTCTAGTGGTGTCAAAAGAGAGCAGCAGATGACTCCACAGGGGGGTCTGGGCGGCATCCGGGGAGCTGTGTCCGAACTCGTGTCCGAACTTGTTTTTCGCAAACAGTCACACACTTCGTGCTCTTCGACCTCCCAGAACTCCATTCCCGGGCCACATTCTGAATGCCCGGAGCCAACTGTAGGCCACTTCGTGCTCTTCGACTTCCCAGAACTCCATTCCCGGGCCACATTTTGAATGCCCGGAGCCAACTGTAGGCCACTTCGTGCTCTTCGAGTTCCCAGAACTCCATTCCCGGGCCACATTTTGAATGCCCGGAGCCAACTGTAGGCCACTTCGTGCTCTTCGAGTTCCCAGAACTCCATTCCCGGGCCACATTTTGAATGCCCGGAGCCAACTGTAGGCCACTTCGTGGTCTTCGAGTTCCCAGAACTCCATTCCTGGGCATGATTTTGAATGCCCGGAGCCAACTGTAGGCCACTTCGTGTTCTTCGAGTTCCCAGAACTCCATTCCCGGGCCACATTTTGAATGCTGAGGCAGGCTGATGCTGAGGCTGAGGCAGGCTGAGGCTGAGGCAGGCTGAGGCTGAGGCCGAGGCTGAAGGCAGACTGAGGCTGAGGCTGAAGCAGGCTGAGGCTGAGGCTGAGGCAGGCTGAGGCTGAGGCTGAGGCAGGCTGATGCTGAGGCAGGCTGAGGCTGAGGCTGAGGCTGATGCAGGCTGAGGCTGAGGCAGGCTGAGGCTGAGGCCGAGGCTGAAGGCAGACTGAGGCTGAGGCTGAAGCAGGCTGAGGCTGAGGCTGAGGCAGGCTGAGGCTGAGGCAGGCTGAGGCTGAGGCTGAGGCAGGCTGAGGCTGAGGCTGTGACTGCGACTGCCGTTGCCACTGCGACTGTCATCGCGAATGCGACTACGACTGCGAGAACAGCAGAATTCTACAACTGGATTCTCATCTGAATCTTAAGGGGAATGCTTCCAGATATGCTCCTACACATCGCTGTTAGGTTGCTTTGCCGGGATAATATTTTCTTCGTCGGGAGGTCGTCGATAGCTGGCGGACGTAACACAGCAGCGAGTCTGTTGGCGGAAGGCTGCGGAAGTTCAAAATACGCCGTCAAGATTCCACACAGCTTTTTCATACCTGGAGTTGGCAAGTAAGGAATTTGATGAATATCCATAGCGCGGCCCGCCTGGGCGGGGGCTGGATACGCATGTGGCCAGATGTCGTTCAAGCGCTCGGCTCTTGTACGGCCGTGCACGCCGGGCTTCCGCATGCGCATACAGCGGAGGGCCTCCAGATGCTTCGCATGGTAGTCCAGCCCAGGTGTGTCTCCAGTCTTTGTTTCACTTTTGGAGGTCCGCTCGGGATTTTTGGGTCGGCGCTGAGTCCCTCCTGACGCTCCGCGCGTCGGGGGGGGAGTGCGGGGGGCAGCGCCGACCAAGGAAACACTACGCACGGACCTCCGCACGTTGATACAAGCAAGACGCCGAAGTAAGGGCGGCCCTGGTTTTCGGACCGCTCCTCAGATCGAGGGTGTGGGACCCATTCGAGGCCGAGGCGCTCCGTAGCTAGAAAAGCCACTTCGTGCCTTAGCCGGCCGTCCCTCACGGCAGCACGATTTCGAAGGACAAACAACAGCATAAACATACTTCTTGGGAGCTCCCGGCGCTGGGTCCCCCCTGACGGCGCCTCTGACGCCGCCCCTAGCGCGCTCCGCGCGCCAGGGAGGGGCGAGGGGGGTCCCAGCGCCTATTCAAGAAATCCATGCGGACCTTCGGGAGATGATGCCTGTGCTGTTGTCTATTTCCCTACCCACGGCAGCACCGATGTACTGCGTGCTTGTGCCGTGCTTTTCTCCTCCGAGGCGGGGCGGCGCGGCGCCGGGGGCGGCGGGGGGCGGAGCGCCGTGTCTGGCGGCGCGGTGGGGGCTCCAGGGCTGCCCGGGTCGCGGAGCTGGCGGCGACCGCGGGGGGGGTCGCCACACTGGCGCCGGTGGTCGGCGTGAAAGAGAGGTTGGCGAGCCATGGTTCAAGCAGTGGCAAGGCGCCCGTGCTCGCGCCCATAGGCCCACCAAATGCTTGTCTAGGAACTTTTTGTGATTTGCTCGAGACGTGATTCGAGCACTTCTGGCTGAGGCTGTCTTGTTTTATTGCATTGGCTCTATGTTCTAAGTTCTAAGAACGTGCTTGCTGTTCTTAGAGTACTTTCTTGCTTGAAGATGCTGTAGCAGGCCTACTGGAATGCCGGGACGGTCGGTCCCTGCTCAAATAGCTGGGACCAATGTGGTCCTTGCTCACTGGGGGTGTTCATGATATTGTTTTGTGTCCCTTGGCGATCACGGGCGTGACCAGGGGGGATGGGTAGAGGGGGCCACTCACGTCACGATTCGCGACGGTGCCGTTTGAGAATGCCAATAGGAAGGTCCGATTCCCAGACGGCGCCGACTCGAATCGTGACGTGACCAGGGGGGGAGGGTGTGGGGAGAGGGGGGCGGTGGAGGTCCGCGAATATATCTTGTGTCGGCGCTTGGCCCTCCGTCCTTGCTCGCGGAGCGTGCCGGAGAGGGTAGCGAGGCCTGGTCCACGAAATCTTCGCGGATCTCCGAAGGCTTTTGATTTTCGTTTTAGGACTGTGTTCGCCGCTGTCGGGTTTTGTGGGTCCCAGCACCCAAGCCGAACAAGTTGAGACGAGAAGTTGGTCTGGGGGAGAGCCCCCAGGGCGGCCGGGGCCCGCTTCCACCAAGGCTCCCGTGCAGAGGTTCGGAGAAGGGTCCATGGAGACAGCAGCGGCTCTCCCGCCTGGCCCCAGGCCCCTCGAGATCCGTCTTCGGGCCTCTCCCGGCGTCCATCCCGACCGTGGCGACGAGAAGCTTCTGGAGGCAGCAGCAGTACAGTCAGCCTTGATTAGTAGGTCGACCCTGCCAAATCAAGGGTACACTTGAATTCTGTCTTTAGAGACCTGTGCCTTGTACATTCCTGTGGCAATGTGGCCCTCGGAAGGGTCTTGTGTCCTCTCGCGTGTCCTTTCCAATCAAGCCCGACTGTAACGAGAACAGCCAGGGAGCCCGCCGTTGTCTCGACAGGCCCTCCTCCAACAGGTGGCCTGGCCCCCTGAGGTCGCTGGGTACGCCTGTCGAGGCGCGGCCGTGGCGCACGCGAGGGGGTAGGGCGAGCGGTGGAGGACGAGGGGGGACTGGCCCAAGGGGGGGGGGGACACCGACCCCTGACCGCCCAACTATCGCCAACCGGGGCCTGGGTGCCAACCCCGCACAGGAACATGTTTTCGTTGCCATCGGGGTCGTGTCGCTGATCTACCGGCGATGTATCGCCCATTCCGGGTCGTTGTCTTCCTCTGAGACAGTCCCTCTCCCCCGGTCGACCTCCTCGTTCGGCTGCCACGGAGGGTCAGAACAGCCTTGTCTTGGGAAGGATACCTTGATGTTCATCAAGTGTGGGTTCTATGCCGTGGAGTCTTTCCTCGGTGAAGGGGATTATGTTTGTAACCTGCGTCGGGTCGGTCACAGGGGCTTAGGTCCTAGGTCCTAGGTCCCTCGAGTCGGTCATGTCCCGACGGAGCCGATGAACGCAACACATGGCACAAAAAGACGTACTCGCAGGTTCGCACGGATGTTTCGGGCCCGCGTTAGACACCCTTAGTGCGCCAGAGGAGAAGGGTCCAGCGCCGACCAAAGAATATCAGTGACCCGTTTTGGGTTCCCAAGTTCGGGCAGCGAGTCGACACTTACCGATTCCGATACCGATACCCTTTGTAGCGTCGCGGCCGTGCGCGATCCCCTCGGCCTTGGTCAGGGGCTACTACCCGCAGGCTGCGTGGGTGTATAGCAAGCTATTGGAAATCACACGTCGAGCTCATGAGCTTCTGCTCCCCCCCCCAGCGAGCGCTCCACCGCCCAGGCGTCGTGGCTGAGGTCCCTGGCCTCGGGCCGCTCGGGGCTCTCGTGGTGGACGACGGTGCCGGCGCGGCCGAGGTCGAGGAGGACCTGCCGGACTGGGTGCCGAAGGACCTGCCGGGCTGCCACGGGGAGGGCTTCTGCGCAGAGGCGTCCCCCAACGTTTTCCGCGGCCGTCTGGCAGTGTCCATGTCGATCCGATCGATCCGGTCGATCCGATTGGAGGTAGATTCTGGCCGGCCCGATCCGAGTCGATTGTGATTTCCCGCCGATCCGATGCGATCCGACGTTGCGCGGCGCTGTTGTGCATCTCGGCGCAGCCGATCCGATCCGGTTTTTACTCGTGCCGATGCGGTCCGATTCGACGCACAATCCGTTTCGAATCCGATGTTCCGATTCAATGCTGACTGATCCTTGTTAGGGGGCTTTGGGATCCACCTCATTTCAAAATGAAGACGGGTTTTTGGTTCGCCGTTTTCGGCCTCCAGAGGCCTTCGCTGGGCCCCGGGTCCGTCCAAAAGCAATGCTGGTCCCCAGGAGTGGGTCGAGGATTCCTGGGACCCCCTTTGTTGAAACACTCGAGACACCAGATCTTGGGGTCCTGGGGCCCTCCCCCCAGATTTCGACGAGATGCATGTCTCGACCCCGTGGTGTTTCACATGGATTTCGGCCTCTGGGGCCCGTGATCGGGCCTCGGGGCCATCAAACGTTGATCCGGGACGGAAATGCCCACCTGCTCCTCCTCCTCCTGCTCCTCCTCCTCCTCTTCCTCCTGCTCCTCCTCTTCCTCCTCCTGCTCTTGCTCCTCCTCCCCCTCCTCGTCCTCCTCCTCCTCCTCCTTATCCTTATCCGTATCCTCCTCCTCCTCCTCCTCCTCCTCCTACTCCTCGTCCTCCTCCTCCTCTTCCTCCTCCTCCTCCCCTTCGCCCTTCCCCCTCCTCCTCCTCCTCCTCCTCCTCCTCCTCCTCCTCCTCCTCCATTCTTTCTCCTTGTAGATAATTTCTCCCTGCCCCCCCGAGGCCAGTTTTTAGGGCGGGCAGGGCGTTTCGCTTGAGACTTCCTCACCGTTGATGATTCTGCAGCTTAAGCAGTGACCAAAGTTTCACATATGGAAGGCGGGTGGTTTTCAAAATGCGGCTCTCGCCTGAGCGCCGCGCGCAGTTGCTTTTAAAAGTGCAAGAGTTTCAGGGATTGAGGGCGGGTCGTTTTGAAAATGGAGCTCTCGCTTTAGCGCCGCGCACATTCATTGTCAAAATTTGCAAGAGTTTCACGGATTGAGGGCGGGTCGTTTTCAAAATGTGGTTCTCGCTTGATCGCCGCGCGCAGTTGTTTTTAAAAGTGCAAGAGATTCCCGGATTGAGGGCGGTTATTTTCCCAAATGTGGCGCTCGCCTTAGCGCCGCGCTCATTCTCTTTCAAACTTTGCAAGAGTTTCACAGATTTGTATGGTCAGCGTACCAGAAATAGCGTTTTAGGAAGGATTCAGGATTATGCGGGTGAACCAGTTATGTTGATCCGCGGTGTTGACGTCCCAAAAATTTCGTTCTGGCACGGCTCCAGATCGTCAAGACGCAGCAGTCAGGTTGATACGTGGCGTTGAAATCCCGAGAGCAATGTTTTGACATGCTTCAGGATCTTGAATCGGTTGTCTTCCAACGAGGCAGTTCCTTCAATGGAAATGAACCGTTGTAGGGGCCTATGAAGAGGGAGCTTGGAGGGAGGGTTAATTCTGACATCGTCGATGACTCTTAGGTTTACACTGGTCCTCCTCCTCCTCCTCCTTCGCCCCCCCTCCCCCTCCCCCTCGGGGAAGGTTGACCTCTGGGGCCGCGCATTGGAAACACATCACAGCGTCGCATGTCTGAGTCTTGGCCTCGCCAGGGGTGTTCTGCAGGCAGCGCGGGCCTCCCTGTCTGGCGCTCCGACGATGCTGTGCGGCCCGCAGCTGGCTCGGCACTGCTGTGCATCCTGGCGCGGCCGATCGGATTCTATCCCGACTCCGCACCGATGCGGCTGGACCCGACGCACTCCGACCCGACCCAGCTTCCCGATCAGATGTCCCGGCGGACCGTGTCTTGGGCCAAGGGCCACCTCAGGCAACACCCGAAGGGAGTGGTGGAGCGGCGGAAGTGACACGGCGGCTGGTGCGATGGCGGAAGGCCGATTGAAGGCGGAGGAATACAGGGCGAGACGCCAACTTCATCGTTGGATCAAGGATTTCTGGAATCTTGCCATGCCCTCCCTGGAAAAGTTGACGCGTAAGAGTCATCGCCCACCCCTGCGTGTACTGGGTCCACCCTTACGTGTACAGTCGGCCCTGATTGGTAGGTCGACCCTGCCAAATCAAGGGAACCCTTGCGTCCTATGTCTCGCGACCCACGCCTCTTACATTCTTATGGCAATGATGGGGCCCTCGGAAGGGTCTTGTGTCCTCTCGCGCGTCCTGTCCAATCAAGTCCGACTGTAGCCGAGACAGGAGTGGCTGAGCCCCGTCATTGGCGACGACAGCGTCAGCGACATCTACGGCGCCATCGGCGTCTGGCCCGCGGCCTTCGTCGCCTCGGAGGAGCTGCGGGGCTGGGCGCAAGGCCCGTGCGGTCCGCCCGCCGCCGGGTGGCGCTGCGTGGAAGTGGGCAGCGGCGCCGGCTTCCCGTCGCTGATGGCCGGGCGGCGCTCCCGGGGGGCCTGCAAATCACCGATGGGAGCTGGAGCCGGTCGGGGGTCTGAGGTGGCTTGGCATATGGGTTCCGGATTCCGGCCAGCAGGAAGGGAGGGCGAGGTTCGGGGCGCTGGGTTCGAGAGGGTTTTTGGTCTTCTTGGGTCTCCCATGGGGCCGCGGTCGGGCCCCGGGGCCGTCAAAAACGGGTCCGGGGTGAAGCATTGAACCAGGTGGACCCCGGAAGGGGTCCGGGGACCGTTTTTGAGCGGATTTGCCCTTGCCCGTCTGGATAAATTGTCTCTGGCCCGGTTAGTTCAGAACCCGCGGCCGCCTCCAATTCGCAGACGTCCCCACGAGCGGCGAACGTGTCCACGTCAGTGCACTCGCCGTCAGGGTTGGACAATTCTCGAGGCGCGGTCCGACGGATGTGCTCTGCGCGGGGCATCTGCGCGAAGCCACCCTGTATCCACGGGGTTGCTTCCGAGGGGTCAGGCAGATCGCCAGGGTGTCGGCATGGACATGTTTCCCGCCTGCGACTGTTGCCGCTCTTCAGGAAGGGCATAACAGCACACCAATACCAATACTAGTACCACCACCCGCGTTCTCGCCTTTGGGGTCCTCTCCGGGGGCCCTTTGCCGCCACGCCTAGAGCGCACCCGAGTAAATGCGAAACGTGAGTTCAACCCTAAACACCGCGTGGTCAGCAATTGACTGGGCATATCACTTACATTGCCATCGCGCAGGACCGCATATCTCAACATACGCACACACATGCCCAGCGAGTTGCTGCACACGTGCGCCATAGTCTACCAGCGCGCGTTTTCATTGGGATTGGGTGCCGACGTGCACAACAAAACAATCAAGTCCTCTACGGTTTCTTTAGTGCGCATGGCCGCAGGACCTCAGTGTGCACAAGAGGTTTCAGAAGGACCGCAGGACCTTCCAGATCCAGTGCTCGACTGAGCAAACAGCTCATGTCACATTGCGTTGCAAGTACCTCGGTCTCACTGACAGCGCGGTCCAGTATGAAGGTCGACACCTACTTAGATCACTTCCCCCGTGGGCTGTGGAGGAGGAGATGTGCGTGGCATCCGATTGCAGCGCCTTGCCATCTCTGTTGGTCGGAGGCCAGGAGACGAAACCGAGCGCGGACTAGAGGAAGGAGGGTTGCCTGAGGAAAGCGAAGCGAAACAAAACAACGATCTGCCTCCCATACCCCTAGGCGGCCCCCATCACCTCACGGGCCCCACGCGCGACACACCCTGAGCTTCAATCTGGAGGAGTTTCGGGCAGGTCCACGAAGAGCAGCGACGGCGAACCGCCTCAACGACCTCCGCTTCCGCTAGTGGTGTCGTTGCCACGTTTTGCCAGACATTCGAGTCTTGTTTAGGTTGATGTGCACGCAATCTTTGTGCGTTTCATACGCATGCTGCATACGCACATATACTTATTAACATATTCACATATATAACACGTATGTGCAGACAAATATATATATATATATATATATATATATATATATATATATATATATATATATATATATATGTATGCACACATAGCTACATATATATGTATGAACTCTCTCTCTCACACACACACACATATATATAGATACACACACGTGCACACATATCCCCGCGCACGAGGCCCAGGCGCCGCCCAGGGGCATCAAGCGCGCATTGGAGGACCGGGGCCTCCGAGACCGCTCCCAGAGCACCCCGGAGGGGCCGTGGAGCCCCCAGACTGCCCCAGAGAGCTCCAAGACGCTCCCAGAAGCCCCGGGGACTTCGACAAGCCCCTCCAAGACAGCCCAGATAGCCCCAACGTGGCCCAAGATGGGCTCCAGACCGCAAATGCACAGCCCAAGAGGCCTCCAAGAGGCCTCAAGAGAGCTCCGAGAGGCGTCCCGAGAGAGCCCGAAGAGGCCTAAATCCTTAATTTCCAGTTTTTCCTATACATATATATATAAATATATATATATATATATATATATATATATATATATATATATATATACATATATATATATATATGTGTGTGTGTGTGTATGTGTGTGTGTGTGTGTTTGTGTGTGTTATCGCTTTCTCGCGTTTTCGACCTTCCGACGCTCCAAGGCCGACGACGCCGCCAAGACCGCCCCACGACCGCCGAAGGGGCCCCCAACAGAGCCCCAAGACGGCTCCAGGGAGCGCGAACATTGCCCAGGAGGAGCCTCAGACGGCCCGGAGAGCCCCAGGACAGGCCCAAGTTTGGCCACAGAACGGGAGCGGGAGGCCCCAAGGCGCTCCGAGACGGCCCAGATGGCCGCAATGTGGTCCCAGATGGGCCTAACACGGCCGATACTTTGCCCAAAAGGCCTTCAAGAGAGCTCCGAGAGGCGTCCCGAGAGAGCCCGAAGAGGCCTAAATCCTTGATTTCCGGTAGTTTTTTGTTGCTTTCTCGCGTTCTCGAGCTTCCGACGCTCCAAGACGGCCGAAGACGCCCCGAAGATCGCCCCAAGACCGCCGAAGAGGCACCAAAACAGCCCCAAGACGGCCCCAGAGAGCTTGAAGACTGCCCAAGAGCAGCCAAACACTGCCCAAGAAAATCCCAGGAGAGGCACAAGATGGGCCCCAGAGCGGGAGCGGGAGGCCCCAAGGCGCTCCAAGACGGCCCAGCTGATCCCAACGTGGCCCAAGAAGAGCTCAAGACGGCAAACACACACCCCAAGAGGTCTGCAAGAGAGCTCCGAGAGACGTCCCGAGAGAGTCCGAAGAGGCCCACATCCTTGATTTTCAATTGTTTTTTTTCATGTTTTCCGCTTTCTCGCGTTCTCGAGCTTCCGACGCTCCAAGACGGCCGAAGACGCCCCAAGACCGCCCCAAGACCGCCGAACAGGTCCCCAAAAGAGCCCCAATACGGCCCCAGGGAGCCCAAAAATTGCTCCGGAGGAGCCCCAGACGGCCCAAGAGGCCCCAGGACAGGCCCAAGATGGGCCACAGAGCGGGAGCGGGAGGCTCCAGGGCGCTCGAAGACGGCCCAGATGGCCCCGGCCTCCCCCCTGCGTCCCTCCTTCCCTCCCGGCCCCTCCCCTTGCCTCCATTCTCTCCTCTCTCTCCTCTTCCCCCCCTCACCCCTCAGCTTTCGTGCTCCTCCCTTCTCTCCTGGGACGGCCCCGCCAGAGCGCCAGACAGGCCCCGCCAGAGCGAGCGGGGCATCGCTATACCCATCATTTCACAAGTTGCTTTGCCCCTCCCACCCCTCAAGGGCGGTCCCAGCAGAGCGAGAGGAGTGTCGCTATACCATGTGCAGTCCCCGTTCTTTCTTGCTCCTCCCACCGCACCCGAGGCAGCCCCGTCAGAGCGCATGGGCTGTTTCTATACAGTAACTTTCCTCAAATTTATGCGCCCCCCTCCTGGGCAACCCTCGCCAAAGCGCCAATGAAACCACCGCCAGAAAGAGCAGGGCATCCCTACATCATCCATATTATTGCACGCGGTTCTTGCTCCTCCCACCTTTGCAGGGCGGACCCGCCCGAGCGAGCGGGGTGTGGCCATGCCATATAATTTCTACGGTTTCCTGCCCCTCCCTCACCTATTGAAAGCCAGAGCGCCAAGAATGTACCGCCAGAGGCCCCATCAGAGCTCCAGGCAACCCAATACATGGGACTTGTCAGGCAAATCGTTGAGCATCCCCCGTGAGCCCGAACTTTCTGATCCCACGGGTGCGATTATCGCCGGAATGAGGTTTGGCGTTCAGCACAAAAAAACTTCCCCACTTCCGTGGACAGACTCGACAACAACTGATTGCAGAGAAGGCGATGATGACTGGGACATCTGCGCGCGCCCCCTGCAGATACCCGACAGCTGAACGACCGGTGAACACGAGAAACTTGGAACACAATGAAGAGGAAAAGAACAACGCGTTCCCACGCGTGCACAACGAGGCCCCGAGCCAACCCCAACATCAGGAGTTGGCAGATGTCTGGGTGATCGGGCACGGGGATACCGAACAGGTGTGCAACATCATTTGATGTTCCGATGGGGCAGAGCGGAAGTGAAAATGGAGGAAAAAACGCAAATGGAGGAACAAAAACGCCGTTCGACAAAGCAAACAAATGCGGCAGCGATATTGTGAGATACGCGGGAAGGAGGCGCCCCCCGTTCTGACAACGCGTTTCTTTGCGTCGATGGCATGGGCCCGAGAACGCTGGAAATCGTCGTTGTAGTCACAGCGGGGCTTACAGCGACACCCGTGGCTCGTCTGCGAGTAGAACCGAAAGGCGAGCGCGTAGCGCGCGTGGTTCTAGAACGTGTATATAGATATACAGACATACATATATATATATATATATATATATACACACATGTGTGTTTAGTTCTAGATGCATACGCATGTACATGTGTTAATATGTGTAAGTGTACATATCCAGATGTACACGTACACCCAGACATGCAATTATACGTACACACATACATAATGACATACATATATACACATACACCCATATCTACGAATGCGGAGAAGACAAACGCACACACATACGTGCACGCATGCATCCATGCATCCACCAATACACACATGCATGGTTGCATACATACATACCAACAATCATACGTGCATGTATACCTGCGCCAATTGTACAGACATGTGAGCATGCTTGCATGCATGCGTACATACATGCATCGATCTGTACATGCTTATGCATAACACAGTTACGTCTTGCATGCGTGAATGCATACAATCACACATACAAAACGTGCATGCGTACATGCATGTATACATGCGTGCGTGCATTATATATGTATGTTTACAAACATGCATGCGTACACACATGCGTAGAACTATATTCAAACGTGCATGCGTACATGCGTTCCTTGACTCCCTCTAAGATCCTGTCACGGCAATCGGTTGGACTGCCTCGGGTTTCGAGCTTCGATAGGAAAACCCATGTTTCGGGGGCGGCCCAGGGTCCTGGAACCAGAAGTCCGTCGAGTACGTCATCAGCGGGAAACTCTTGAGGTTGGAA